TATTAATGTTACAATGTAATGAGTTGTTATTTTTAAATGAATTAAAGTATTAAAAATTTTCTTTTAATTTTTAATGTGGCAAGTTTTGTAGTCTCTCCTTAGAAACTATATTAATATTTTTTTTATTGCCTCATTCATCTCTACATTCTATGTCACTTTGAGTTGTTTTCCCTTTGCTTCATCTTTCTCAAATAATTATGAGATTTTGTGTCTTTGTAAGCTGCTTGACATACCTTCTTTCAAATGAAGTAGAGCATTAGCATATTTCTCACTGTAAATATGTTTGCATTTTTTTTTTTTTACCTAACACGTAAAATCTTGGTTAATATGAACTACTAATAAGAGACAGCTGAGTTTCACAATGATGAATTCATACTCCTGTGTCTGCTGAACTAAAGACTGAACCCTGAACTGAACTGTGACGTTTGGGTAAAATCAGAAACATATTGAATAAAGCTAAATCTAAAAACAGATATTCAAATGAAAATGCTGGATCTCTAGAACCTGAGAAGGTAAATTTTAGCAGAGACAGAAGGATTACAAGACCTTGAACTGAACAACCTACCTCTTAGTCTCATGCTATGCAGCCCTATGTGATTTGTGAGTTCTGAGGCTCAGGATGAGATACATATGTGAAATATAATAATCTATGTTATGTCTCTGCATTCCATTCCCTGTTACCACATGTCCCAAGATTTTGGAAAAAAAATAACACCTTACATTTGAATTTTAATATTTCCAAAGTTTTTTTTTTTTTAAGGTTATCTACAGATAGGAATTTGAAGAAATTAGGAGTGAGCCCTATCATTCCTCTCACATTTTCTCTCAGTCTGTGATTTATCATTTATACACAATCTAGAAGCCTGGAGTGATTCTTGATAACCATATTATTCACATTTCAGACATGATAAAAAGGGATATAATAATCTAAGTTTTGAACTCAATATTATGATTAATGTAATTGTTGAAAATTAATTTACTAAACAAGTGGCTAACCAGTTTTCACCCTACCAATCTAAGTGTTTTCTTAATTCAAATAAAGATTGTACTATCTAAGAACAATAGTAAACTTGTACTGATGAAAACGCACATGTTTTATTTTCAATGAAGCCAAGAACTATACAGTTCTCTATAATGACGACTCTGACAAGAAAATTTTGGCCCTCTCTTCCTGCTACTTGTAATGAAAAGTTTTGCATTTCCAAAGAAGTTGAATTACAGACCTAAAGTGAATCACTCAAATTAGATATACTTAATGTAAATACATATCAAGTCCAATTTTTCAGCTTTTCACTTGTTTAAATTTTTAACTGATATTACTAATGAGTCATCATTATTGGAGTTAACTTCTATTTTTTTTTTAATCACAGTGTATTCTGGATTACTTAGTATAAACTCTGAGTGGATAAGGTTGATTCTGTTTTAAAATAAGTAGGTCCATCTTTTTAAATTATTTGAGAAAACAAGAGCTATAAAACAACAACAACAAACTCAATTACCTAGTGGAGTCAGTGAAGTCCAAAGTGGTTTATCCCTCCAACCTAAATCTTAATGCAGATGTCATAGTTGAGTTTTAGACCTATATCCTTTTTCAATACTACTAGAAATATTCCTCACATCTCACTTGAATGCTAACGTAAAAGAAAATCACTTAAGATGGATGTCAGAGTTTAATACATCCAAAGGGGAAGGAACATAGAAGAAAATAGAAGCAGCTACCATACACTGAGTCCTTACCATGAGCCAGTTACTGTGCTAAGGATGCCATATACAGACACAAAAATGAGGTCTTCAGCTGACATCTGCCCCAGCGCATGAGGGCGGATTTAATCTGAGGCCCCCACTTCTAGGACATTCCACTTCCAACTACTGTTAAAAGGACCACATCAGCTTTGCTGAAAGAAAGGATATCACTATCTTAGGAAAGGACGTTCACTATCACAACATGATACCTTTTCCTATTGCTCAGCCTTCATGAACTATCTCCCCTCCCAGAACACTCTGAGCAATACTAAAGGAGTATCAAAATAATATCCTTTTTTTCGAGGTGTAACATTCAGAATCTGCACCACCCAATCTAACACTTAAATAGTTGTTGTCAACTGCTGTTTCACATCTTGTACTTTCAACTAGACTAACTTGAGGACAGAATCTGTATGGAAAACACCAATGGTTGCTTTACCCTACAGTCATTCCAAATTCTTCTCCAGGGAATGAATCATGATGGTTCTAACCAGTCAGTAATCCCATCCCTCTTTGTCAGCTATCAGTCAGTCTAGGTGTGGACGTGTAACCAATTCTGGCCAGTGATAAAAGAGGATGTCTATTGATAAGGTTCTAGGAAAATTATCTTAATAAGAAAAAGAGCAACAAAAGAAGATCCTTTCTTATATCTTTGCTCCTTCTTCCCACTTGGCACTCTACCCTACTAAAGACCACAAATGAAGACAACAACAATACTTAATGGCAGTGTGTAAAGATAAAAAAGAGCTAGCTCCTCCTTTGTCTTTCTACTTCTCTGAGTTAATTCTCTGCCTCACATAAAGGGCCAAGGAACTGCCCAAACACAGAAAAATGGCTACGCTGTTAAATTTCACCTGATTTTTCAAATTATGAACACATGTGTTTATCTGGTTTATAACACATGTGTTTATCTGGTAATTAAAATTAGGGGGATAATCCCACCAGTGATGAAGAGAGCAAACTATTAATAGTAGCAAAATACTGTGTATATTTTTTTAAATCAAAGAACATCCAAAAGATCCAGAGGTATACAAGTCAGGAAGAATTTGAAGTGCCAAGATTCTAAAAAAAAGTAAGAGATAAAGAATCTCAACCACTTTTTGCCCTTGAGCTATTTCCTGATTGGTAAGTACAGTGACTGAGGGGCCCAATAGAAAGAAAAAGTTGAGAGCTTTTGGCGGTTTCAAGGGGTCAAGGAGCCAAAATTTGAAGTTCAGAACCACCAAGGCAATAAGCACTTGAATGGGCCAATACCTTGGAGAAAAGAGAATAGTTTATTCTATCATGCTTTTCCCTTAAAAATATTATGATCCCTAAACTTCATGAGAGAGACTGAGAAACTAAGCGAAAAGAAGTGGTTAAGAGACTAAAATGACAAGCAGAGCTGTCAGCAGTCTCAAAATACCAGGGGGACAAAATCTGAATTTCAGTGCCCACCAAAGAGAAGGAGTCTTGGTAAACACACTAGGCTTTCTACTAAAATCCTAAAGGGCTGTGCCCTAAAAATAAAGTGAGCCAAAAATAGACTAACTTTCAGAAAGTCTAAAACCATGCTGCAATTCTCTCAATCTTTAATGACATCAATGTAATTTGCTTTGAGACTACCTGTAGGCTAAGAAAAAAAAAATTAAACAAAACAGTATGGTGGCAATATCATCATCCAGAGTATCTATAACTTTTTTTGTATATAATACAAAAAAGAACTCTTACAAAATAGGCAAAAAGATTGACAAGCACTTCAAAGGAGGCAATCTAAAAAGCCAATAAACATACAAAATAGCATTTAAATTCATAAGCCACTGGGCAAATATAAAAATCAAAATTCAAGACTACTGTACCTCTACTAAAGTAGACAAAAATTTAAAAACTAATAATATTAAGTATTGGTGAAGATGTGGGGCAACTAGAACTCTCACACACAGCTGAGAGAATGTCCATTACAGCCATTTTGGAATTAACTGTGACAGTATCTGGTAACACTAAGATGCACATACACTATCATCTAAAAATTCCATTTTAAGATATCAATTCCACAGAACTGTGTATATAATGTGCACAAAAACACATGTCCATGAAAATTCCCAGCAGCATTATTAATAGCCAAAATATGAAAGAAAAAACCTGAATATCAATAATATATGATGAATAGAATAGATTGCAACATGTTTATACAATGGCAATGAAACAAATTACTGCTATATGCAACAACATAGATAAATCTCAAAACTTAAGTAAACGATGCCAGACACAAAAGTGTAATTCCATTTATATAAAGTTTAAATACCTGCAAAACTAATCTACAATAACAGAAATCAAAATAAAGTTATCTTTGAAACTGGAAGGGGAAACAGGAGTGTATTCTGGAGGAACTGGTAATACTTTATTTCTTGACTGAGGGGTAGTTATATGAGTATGTTCGCTTTGTAGAAATTCATCAATTTCTACATTTATGATTTGGTGACTGTTGTGATGGTTAATTTTACATGTTAACCTGACTGGGCTAAGGAATCCGAAGATAGCTGGTAAAACATTATTTCTGTGTATGTGTCTGTGAGGGCCTTCCAGAAGAGAGTAAAGTAAACTGAAAAAAGATGCTCTCACTGATAAAAATGGTCATCATTCAATTAGCTGAAGATCTGAATAGAACAAAAAGGCAGAGAGGACAGGTAAATTTGCTCTATGCTTGAGCTTGGACATCTATCTTCTCCTGCCCTTGGACATCAGTAGTCCTGGACCTGGGGCCTTCAGACTCAGACAGGACTTACATCATTTGTTCCCCTCGTTCTCTGGCCTTTGAGTTTGAACTAGAACTATACCACCAACTTTCCTGGGCCTCCAATTTACAGATAGCAAGTTCAGGGACTTCTCAGCCTCTACAATGATATGAGCCAATACTTCATAATAAATCTCTCTATATATTTCAATATATATCTATTAGTTCTGTTTCTCTGAGAACCTCAATTACAGTTTTACAACTCTCTACATTATATTTAAATTTTAAAATTTAGCCAAATACAAGGTTTTCTTCTGGAGTAATAAAAATGTTTAGAGCTAGATAGATGTAGCAGTTGCACAACATTGTGAATGTTCTAAATGCCACAGAAGTGTACACTTTAACAAAGGCTAAGTTTATATTACATGAATCACCTCGATTGAAAAAAAAGTTACCCCAAAACCCAACCTCAATAAAACAATGTATATACTGATTAGCAGATATGCATGACTACAAATTCTAAGACTTGCAATGCCAAACTTACCAACTACTGTGTCACCATCTAACAAATTGTCATCTTCAGAAGTTTGAAAGTCCATAATAACACCAGCTCCATCTAAAAGTTCCTCGTCACTACTTGCACTCGTTATACTGTTGTAGCTGTTTCTATAGTAGCCTCTATGGAACAGCTGCTCAGACTCCATTGAGCTGGCTGGTTATCTGAAAAAAAAAAAGAAAAAAAGGGTTTAAAAATTTTCTCAACATATAATAAAATAATCTAGTTTAATAGGACAAAAGGAAACTTCTGATCTCTGTATTAAAAAAACACTAAATTCACTGTAAGCTAAACATCTATTATGTTAAGTCTTTTGGTATGATTTAATAATTCTATTTTTACTATGCAGCTGTAAAAAAGAATGAAGAATTTCTTTATGTAGTGATATCAAACAATCTCTAATATCAATTGTTAAGTTGAAAAACAAAGTACAGAGAAGTGTTTAGAGTCTACTACAATATATGTGGGGTTTTTTCTCGCAAAAAGTGTGTGTATGGGGAAATACAGTGTGTAATTGCTTGTGCATGTATGAACTATCTGGAGTTATTTCCAAGAAAGTTGCTCATCGGAGAAAGGAACAAGATGACTGAAGTATCAGGTCTGAAAGTGAGACTGTCCCGTTTGAATATTTCAGCAGATATAAGTACAACTAATTTTAAACACTGTAATTTAAATTTTAATATTAATTTCATTCTCCTTTCATCATTTTTAAATTTGAATTTTCAAAACATGTGCTTTGAAATATCAGCCATGGAAAATATGATAACAATTTTCGTTTTATTCAAAGCAGGTAATACCAAATAAGCATACATTTTCATTGTTCTTACTCTATACTTTAAAAACAGTATTGCTCCTACGCAGTTTGATTTTTTTTAAAATACATCTATCTACTTGCTCAACATCAAAATGAGAGTTCATCGTAAGTGTGGCAGACATTAGCAACAAACTTGAAAGGTTCATATGTGGGAGTTGAAAGATTGTCATAAAAGTAGTGCCAGTAAGCCTTGTAAAACAAGACTTACTGGACGTGTCAAATAAGTACATCAAGAAAACAAAAGACAAATGGAATTAAGCATACTCTAATTCTAGTGCTGAATTCTAATACTGAAGACTTGGAATGTTTTAAGACAATCTCTTGTCCTCGAAAAATTTTCCTTTTCCACATGGAAAAATAACTTCAAAGAACTATAACAATTAAAAATTATTTGTAAAGCTTTTTATACTTTTTTCTAGAAAAATATTACTATTTTTAAAAGATTTAGTATATAAATTTCCTAACATAAAGAGCACTTTAGAGAAGTTCTGAGAGTTCCTTGAGAACGAGTCTGTATTCTCAATGTCTGGCATAGTAACTGGTATGGATAATATACCCACCCATAATATATGGATAATAAATGTCGAATGTCATACTGTTCATTCGATCAATGAGGCAAAAAATAAAAATGTGTTCAGTGTTCAATAAACAAATACTCTATACAACAGTATTAATCTGGTCTTGTGAGAATAACCAAATACTAGCACATAAATTATAAAGAAAAATTTAAATGTGTATGGCTTTGCAACTTTATTAATGTTTTATGGTTACCTCTACCAAATCTCCATACTGAGATTTGTTAGAATGTACTAATTAGAGTTTTATATTTAAGGTAAATGTTTATGTAGAATAGAATGAAAATAACTGTTTATGCTAAGAACTTTGTGGTGTCCACAGAAGCAACCAAATTAAATATTGTGGCTCTTGAGTAAATAATCAAAGGCTTAAAAAAAAAAAGCATTAATAATTCAAGAATAATTTTAATTTTGATATATCAAAGCATATATGCTAAGATTCTGCAAAGAATGCAAACCATTCTATTCTTCACTTCTTTAATAATTAGGCTAGACAGGCTTAATACATATGACAACATACAACAATAGTTACAGGGCTACACATCACTAAGAAATTGCTCTAAAATAATTAGAACTTTCTGTATACTAGGACCTCAGTCAGCAAGTCCCAACGTATGTCGTCTATTCTATCCCCAAAAGTCCCTCAAAAAACATAAGTGTTAACTGGTAACTTCCTTTCAAAATGTTTACAAAACTTAATTTCACGAATGCCTCTGAGACATCTAGATTCCACACCTTTCTTTTAACGAGAGTGACCAACTCTGTTCCGAAAGCTTAAGCTCAGGCCTGTATGGGTTACCATTTCTACAAATTCAATAACATTAACAACAACAACAAAAGAAAACCCTTCCTCCTCTTAACCCAGAAACCTACAGAGCTATACTGTCTGATCAGTAGCCACTGGCCTTGAAACACAGCCAGTCCAAATTGAGATGTGCTCTAAGGTAAAACACCTACTGAACTTCGAAGACTCAATAAGAAAAAAAAAATTTCATTAATGTTATATGGATGCATGTTAAAATAATATTTTAGATATGTTGGATTAAATAAAATATAGTATTAAAATTAATCTTACCATTTTTTTTTTACCTTTTTAAGGTGGCTACTAAGAAATTTAAAATTACATATATGGCTCACATTTGTAGCACAAATATTTTTATCGAATAGCACTGCTATGAAGTATTCAAAATTCTATGGCAGCATAAAGGAAATACAACACTGGATACCAAAGTTAAATCTTTTTAGGTTCTAAATTCAATTTCCAGGCTTGCCCACAAAAGGCTATTTACATCATAACAGCTGAAATTTTGCATATTAAAAAAATTAAAATAGTACAAAGTCACTTTTTCCTTTTTAATTGTCAAAAATATATTTAAAACCATTTCAAAAGATTATAATGGACATACAGTAGCTTGCAAATATATTCTTGCAGAGTTATGAAGATTAGTGTGATAATCTATAAAATCTCCAAAGGTAGAGCCTGGTTTATTTCAGTAAGTTCCTAAATGAGCTATGTGGAATCACCTTGACCGCCTCTAATCTGATCTCCATAGGGCAGCCAGCATGGTCTTTTCTAAAAGCAAGTCTGATCAGTAATCTCTCCCCGCTTCATGTATTAAAGTCTTAACCATTTCTCACCACCCTTAGCAGACAAAGCTCTATGCAGCCTTGGCCTCTGCCTACTTCTCCCGCTTCATTCTGTAGTGTGTATTTCTTGCAGCACTCTTGACTCACTGATCTTCCTCAGTCTTACCAGGATCTTTCCTGTCTCCTGCCCCAGGGCCATTATTGCTCCCTGGGCCCAGAACATACCTTCTCCTCTTCATCTAATCAACTATCCTACTCGTTCTTCAGATCTCATATCAAGTATACCTTTCTTTCTTTTCTTTTTTCTTTTTTCATTTTTCTTTCCTTCCTTCTTTCCTTCCTTCCTTCCTTCCTTTTTTCTTTCCTTCTTTCCTTCTTCCTTTCTTCCTTCCTTCCCCCCTTCCCCTTCCCCTTCCCCTCCCCTTTCCTTCCATTAACAAATTCTTAAACAGAGTTTACTATATGTTAGGCACTACCCTAAGCATGTAACAAATTAACTCATTTAATATCTGTGTTAAACACAATCTCAACTCTAAAGCTTAGGTAATATCATCCGCACTTAACAGATCAGAAAACTGAGGCGCAAAGTGTTTAAATAACTTGTCCGAAGTCATGCAGCTAGGAAGGGAAGCCTCCCTTGATCTATTTATTATCTGGGTGAATCTTTCC